TTTTTTTATTACTTGTTGGAGGTCACATTTGGCCTCATATTTTGACACTTCACCTTTTTGCTTATTCTAGTTCCTGTTAAAGGCACCACTAAATAAAGGTCAACATTATTGATGAGTCTTACTCATTTGGAGGTCTCTTGATACCACTTATGGTAAATTTTTAGATTCTCTATCCTGGGAACAAGAATCTTGACCTTTTGGAAATGTATGTATTTCTAACCTAAGGCGTTTGAAATAGTTGAGAGGTATATCATACAGTTTAAAAGTCAGTGAAATGGTACCATTTTAATGATAATAAGATTCATTTCTTTCTCACATGTTGCCCATTAGCCTGCATTGTTTAGGGGAACCTGGCTTTTCCTAGTTCAAACAGAAACTTGAAACATTGAGTTTTTTTTTTTTTTAACTCCAAATGTGAATTCAAATTCTGATTTAAATCTTTTAAAAAGTGGATTAAAATCACATTCATAAACTCTATTTCTCTTTGGCTTCCTTCTTTTTCTGCTCATTTTCCTTCACACGTTTCGGGAAGCTATCTCAGCTCTTAGAGTGCTTAATATGCTCAATACTCAAGAGAAAGGTACCTGGGTTCAGCTGAAGCGCCAGCCTGCTCCACCCAGAGAAGTACACTTTGTGAGAACCAATGGAGAGGAGCCCGAGCTGCTGGAACCTATTCCCTATGAGTTCCTGGTGTAATAGGCATAGATGGCATACATTGTGAGAAGCAAAGAAAGGACCTTGAGCTGCTGGAATCTATTCCCTATGAATTCATGTCATAGGAGACAAACCTAATAAAAGCCACTGGACTCTAACAAAAAAAAAAAAAGTTGGTCATAGCATTAAAGCACTTGTCCATCAGATTCTTAAATACTAGACATGTAGCTCACTCTCTTTGAGAGCAAAAGTATGACTGGAATTCATGGAGTTAAGTTAAAACAAATGGCAATTTGCAGAGGGATTATAGCGTTAGAATGTAAATGTAACTAGTTCTATTAGTAATCACTCATTTGTCTTGGAAGATACATCCTGCTTAGATGGAAAAGACATGGCCAAGTCTTGATATATGGCACATTGTTGTATCCTGAATTAGAAGCCTGAATTCATGGTGGTCTTTTGTGTTGACTATGAAAACTGTCAGAAAGATGAAAGTCTGAACACAGATGTCAGGAGGACCAACAATTGAATAAAGGATCTGTATGAGGAAAAATAAATTTAAAGCTGGAACCTTCTAAAAGAGAAGTTTTGGATCAAGTGTAGAAGGTGTGGAGAGGCTGTTAAAATGACCCCTGTGGAAAATTTTTAGTGAACGTTTAGGTTAGAATATGAAGCATTCTTGGCTGATCTGACTGCAGTAGTGTTCGCAACTAATTGATCACAACCTGTTAAAAATTTCTTTGTTTCTTCTCCACTCCCACTGCTTGACTTGACTAGCCTTTAAAAAAAAAGAAAAGAAACATTTTTTAGTCTGCCTTATAAACTTCGGAATGATTTGTCTGGGAAAAATAAACTTTTTAAAATGTTGCAACTTTTTCTTGGAAGAAAGATGTTAGACTGAAAGACTAATAGAATTATTTGCCAGGTGCCTGTTCTAGTAATTCATTGAGTAACTTGTACTTAAAATTCAATGACTCGTGATAATTCAGTGTTGTAAATACAGATGTTCCTTGATTTACGATGGTTTTACATGCCAATAAACCAATTGCGAATTAAAAATGTTGTAAGTTGAAAATGCATTTAATACACCTAAGCTACTGAACATCATAGCTTTGCCTGGCCTTCCTTAAATGTGCTAAGAACAGAACACTTACGTTGCCACTGTTGGGCAAAATCATCTAACACAAAACCTATTTTATGATAAAATGTTGAATATCTCATGTAGTTTATTGAATACTATACTGAAAATGAAAAACGATGGATGTGGGGTGCTTGAGGTATGGTTTTTTACTGAATGCACCATTGTAAAGTTGAAAAATCATAAATCAAACTATCATAAGTTGGGGACCGTCTGTATTTACAGTGTAGTAGAACTGTTTTAAGATCTGTTCCCAGGTTTGATCGACCTGTTGAGAGTATGGGACTGGACTTTCCTAGAAGGACTGTAGGAAATTTTTGTGTTTGGATAAATAGTACACTTTGCATTTCATTTTTATCCAGGCCTACCTGAGAATATATTAATACTTCCCAGTAAGATTTCTCCCATACTGTTTTTTTTATAGTTTTAAAAATATAATCTGCATACCAAACATTATATGCAATACACATGTATGTTACAAAATTATGTAATAAACACTCATGAACCTAGCATCCAACCAAGAACCAAAATATTATCAATAACTTATCCATACTGTTACAGCACTAAATTTTATTACAGTATATAAATTATCTTTGGATCTTTGACACTTGGGTTTTCTTTTCTTTCCTTGTCTTCTCTCCCTCTCTCTTTGTCTTTTTTTTTTTTTTTTTAATTAAAGCAAGTCTTCTCAGGGATGATGTTTGAGATTGCATCCACTTTGACCCATTTAAATTCTCTTTCGAGGTTGTTTAAAGATTTAGAACAGTAGGCATTTGTAGCTCACTATTCTTGATAAAGCCATTATGTCTTTTGGGATACTTGATTCTTAAAAGCTCTATAATTAAAAACCTGTGATTGATAAAGATGCTTGCCAATAAACGTACCACTTAAGTTTTCTGAATGAATGTGGATAATGAGACATAGTATTAAAACAGATTAGAGGACCCATTCCCTAGAGTAATTAGAACTTCAGTTACATTTTTACATAAGATAAATTGAAGTAATACCTATTTTAAAGGGAGAGGTGATACCAAGGGGGTGTTTGTATCCAGTGGTTCTCAATATGTGAGCCTTAGACCAGCAGCATCAGTATCACCTGGAAACTTGTGCAATTTATCTAGACTCCTCAAACCTTTAGGTGATTCTGATATAGCTAAAGTTTGAGAACCACTGCTATAAAGTTCTATCTTCATTGTTATTAACTTTGGTTGGTATGCAGTAAGCTGTATGGGTCACTTCTGTTGCAAGTGACAGAAATCCATCTTAAACTAGCTTAAGAAAAAAGGAATTTACAGGCTGTCTTAGCTGGGTTGGGAGATTATTGGGATAGCGCACAGATTGAAAGCAATAGTTGCAAAGAATCAGGGCCCTGGGGGTTGGAACTGCTTGTCTCTGCATGACTTTGTCCTGTTTGTAGATCCTAGATAAGTGGGAAGTATGGTCACAGGGCAGCTCTAAATTCACATCCTACGAGCTTAGCAACTCCAGAGGAGCTGCTTTCTACCCTTCACAAGCCCATCCCTCAACCATTATGTTCGTGGGGATGAGGGTCAATGACTGGTCTAGCCTGGGTCATATGTCTGTCTATAGGAGGAAACGATGAAAAAGTGTGCTACTTTGGCAA